GTTAATACAGTTTAAAAACACAACAAAATAAAATATACAATAGTAAAACCATTAATTATGATTTGCATTTCTTGCTCAGCCCGCACAGCAATAGAAACATAAAAAAGCATAGTTGTAACGGGAAATCACGTAAAAATATCGCAACAATTTGTTGGTATCTGAAGAACAGTGGAACGTCATTCAAACGTTTTTTCCTTTGATTAAAAATAACGTAGTTTCTATTTTTTATACGAATAAGAACAAATTTAAAAAATCGAGAACCGACATTTTGTTAAGGAGCAAATAACAAACGCACGCGTGCATTATATTTTGCCTATGCTATGGTTTGTTGCGTGCGTCGATATTTTCGAAAATAACAATCCATTGTAACAAAACAATATTGTTGTAAAAAAAACGGACATAAAATTATTATCATTATGAAGCTCTCTCCTCCCCTCACTACTTTATCTGTCTGATTTCAAAATACCGCCAAATAGTTGCAAATCAATTACGATAAGTTGACGGTAAATTAAAATCGGTCGGACAAAGAGGGGAGACCAATTTCATTGACGTGACATAATCCGCACGATAGGTGGGCCATGGTTGTCGATGAGAATATGGGAAAGACGGGAAGATAGAGGGGAAATTCAATATATGCATATATACATATGTACGCAGCGATTAATTGTATCCGACGAAAACGATTCTGAGCGGAGCTCGGTTGAAAGGCCGTAATATTTACGATTTGAATACAATACAATTCGTAAATTTCCCCGTTTTTGCTAAAAATTTTCCCGGGTTTTCCCGTTTATTATCCGAAAACCCACGGGCAAATCAAAAGAATCACGTCCCTATAGTAGTGCCTCGGTCAAATTTCCTTTCTTTGCTGCACTTGAAAAAAAAAAAAAATAATAATAATAACAAACAAATAAACATAATTGTAAAACAAATATATTCATCGCGTCGCTCAGAAAATAAAATATCACAACGCGCGTGTATATTTAATACGGACATCTGTCATTCCAACAACTGTCAGGTCGTTTCGTTTATTAGGTATTTATTCCGTCCGGAAATGTTAACAAAACGATATTATATCGCCGGCGTCCTGACGTTTTTCTGTTTTATTTTTTTTTTATTTTTTTTTTTTTTTTTTTTTTTTTTTTTTTTTTTAGTGTATGCGTTACGAATAAAAACGCTCAGCTATACGCTCAATACAGACTACAAAATAATCCGCTCGGCAACACACAGTAAATATAAATCAATATTTTTTTATTTTTTTTCATTTCTCCCACAAACGTTATAATACCGTTACATAGGGTATGTCTTTATATTTCATAAATATTTTCCCATTTTTCCGGTGAAATTAATTCCGGATTTCTACGAAACAATCCGGATTTCAACACCGAAAAAAACTCGACTTTTATTGAATCGTATTCGATCGTCGTTCAGGTACCCAGAAAACACGTCTCGGAGTATACTCCGAATTCGCACGGAGTTGTAAAAATCGTTTTCAGAACGCCAAGCCGCCCGCTCTCCGTCTCTCCCGTCTAAATGTCGCCGGGACAACGCGATTAGCTATTGTATATTCAAAATTATAATTATCACTTTATTGTTCTGTTTTTTATTTTTTTATTTATTTTTTTTTCCAATCCGAACCGTGACGAATTCGATATAATTTTTATTACTGCGCAATATTGATTTTATATTCTCTATGTTATTTACATAAATTATAATAATGTACGATATTTTTTCTCGATAATAATTCTATCGGTGTGCGCGTGTTATTAACGACGGTAATTGTATGAGCGATTTGGCCGGTACGGCGCGCAGGAACGACGAGAAAAAAAAATATTATAAAACCGTCGGAGTAAACACACGGCGAAATTTCTTTCGTAGAAACGGTCGATTTAGTGGGTATCCATTGTCGTTGTTTGTACGCGTTTAAACTCGACGGGGTAATTTATTCGATTATTTCGATAATTGATATTATTATCTATAGCACTGCCGTCGCCTCTAAACACACAACCGAAACCGTCGATATGCAAATGTCACACGCGCACACACACACACACACACATACACACGCGCCGTTCGATACGTCGGTGTCGTAATATTATATTGACTTAACGAGTGTATCGCAGCACGGTCATTGTCGGTACGGCGCGATATTACGTCGCACGGAATACGTTTTTTAAACGCGCGCGAGGCGCGTTCAATACGCCGTACCACGTCAACTCACGTTCCAGCGGTAAAATTGTCCCGCGAAACGCCCGATGTTCGTTCGACAAACGACGGTGTTTGTTTTCGAACGCCGCGCGCCGCGTCGTCACGCGAACGACGCTCGCCACGGCCGAATTCGCGGGCGGAAAACGCCCCGTCGAAATCGAAAATTCCGGCCCCGGCGACACGTCGGAATGTAAAATACGTTTTTTTTTTTTTCGGAAACGCGGGGTGATAAAGTCAACCCGTATTGAGAGGCCGGACTAACAACGACGGCGGACGAAAGAATAGACCGACGTTTTACAATTTCGCGGATTATTCCGAAACGAAAGAAACACGCCGACGACGGCAATTTACAGCGCATCGCGATCGCGTTGACAGTGCTGTGATAACGTTAAACACACGTCGTGTGATTTTCGTGCGCGCGCGACGATTAACAAAATAATGTTTTAACCTTGAAGCGAATATCTGTGTTTTGAGTTTTTTTTCCCTCTTCCTTTTTTTTTTCCTTTTTTTTTAACAGTTGTCCCGGTAGTTGTCCGTCATAACGCGATTATTGTAACCAGACCTATAGAAAGATATTATATTATTGTGTTATAGTTAACGCTGTAGATCGGAATAATGAGATATTTCCAAAACAGGTGCTTTACTGAATTCCTCTTCGCGGGTACCCGTGTGTATACACACGCTGCACTCGTTTATATTATTATGATTTTTCTTTTTTTTAAAAAAACATTTATCGGTCTCGTATTTTTTTCTTCTTTTTGTACCGAGCTGTATAGGTATGCGCCCGCGGCGAACGAAAACGTATGGATTGACGTTCGAACAAACGGCATTCTTCGCACGTCGGGTAGGCCGCTGTATACAGTGAGCCGCGGACGTGAATGGGTGTGCGCGTGTTTTTTTTGTTTTTAACCCGTCAGTGTCGATTGTTATCACGTTTTAGAAACGGTGTCAACCGGGGAGTTGAACAGTTCAACACGGCGGACACGAAATAATAACAAATCCTTTTCAGTGCAAAGGTACCTACTGTACAGTGTGGGCATATCAAGTCGGTTGTACACACGTACTACTATATCGTTTTTGGAACAGAAAACGTAGGGTACAAAAAAAAAAAAAATAAATAAAAAAGAACAAAATCTCGTGACAATATGAAAACCCGTTTAAAAAAAAATTTAAATTTGTTTCATATGCACCTATTTAAATACGTTTAGTTTTTATTTATGTACGTTTAGTACATAAATTAAAATCTCGTGTTCTATTTGCAAGTATATTAATCATATTAATCAAAATAAACACTGTATACAAACGAAAATAAATAATTGTGCGTTTGCATTCCTCTCCATTTCAAAAAAAAAAAAAAAAAAAATCGATTTTCCAATATCACGTCGAATAAACTTTTTCGACTTTGGCGATAGACTCGCATTATAATAATAATATATTACGGCCCTTTTTTCGGTCGATTGAAATATTTTTAAACTTTGGTACATTTATATACATTATCCCGAGAGGGTTCTTCAAAAAAAAAAAAAAAAAAAAAACATAAAATATACAATGTAAAATCATAATAATAAAAGCTTTCCGCAGAATTTATAAATATTTTTTTTAAATTCAATCCGGCGGACTAAAATGATAAAAACAAAGTATGTACAAGTATATTTACATCAATATTATGTAAATCGACATTTGCAAAAAATAAAAAAATAAATTTTTCTTAGAGTTCAGAGAATGAAATAAATTATTTTTTTTTTCTTATTTAAACTCGTCGTATTTTCAATATTAAGTCAAAATATTCGTACGCAGGATTTTAATGAAAAAAAAAAAAAAAAAAAACGAACATATTTTGCACGATGGGTGGGCTATTGGCGTAGGTTAAAATTCGGGAGAGTATGATATAGACGGGAATTTAATGTGAACCTCTATACGCAAAGATTACTCATTGCTTACGAAAAACGATTCTGTGCGGAGTTCGGTTATAAACGTTTTGAAAGTTCGTAATATTTACGATTTTCGTCAAAATTTGATTATAAAATTATTGTAAAAAAAAATTCTACAACACTCAAATTTTTTTTAATTTTTTACCATTATAAGAACGACTTATAAAGAAACTTCTGTTAAATGTTCAAGCATTTCTGTTTGGTCTAAAAATCCTGTCCACACAGTGCCTATACCGAATAAAAATTACGTAACACTTTGCAAAACTAAAACGTCTATAAATAGCTTAAAATATTTTGAAAATATCACCTCTAGCAATTGCAATTTTAAGTTATTGTCCAAATTTCAAGCCCCTTCGAATATTTTTAACTAGATCGCGTTAAAAAAACAAACGGACATACTTCGCAATAGTTCGCACGATGGGTACACCTAACCGTCAATACTTTTTTCCCGTTTTTTTTCCCGTTCACTGTGAAAAGTCTCTGGGAAAATTAAAGTACCACCGCAGTCAAATTTCTGTTCAGGAAAGGTGCTATACTTGAAAATCGTAGTAAAATTTCCGTTCACGGAAAAAAAATAAATAAAAAGCAAACACCATTGTAAAACCGTCGGGTATTTCTCGTCGGGTCCGCTCCGCTCCGAATCGAAAATTACGTACGAACCTAAAATATAACCATTTATTCGTACGGAAATTCAACACGAACCGTCGTAATAACAACCAGACGACACGGTAATTGTCGACGCGGCGGCGACGTACCCGGTAGAGCGAAAAACTGTTTAGGCGCACACGAGCGTGTTTAACGTTTCGCTCCTCCGTCGACCGCTCGGTCGATTTTCCCCGGGAGTCGTTTCGTGTTCGTTTTAAATTACGGCCTCGGCGTGGCCGACCTGAAGTGCACACCAATCGACGGCGTGCGTTCAAATGCGCGTAATTGTACACTGTTTATAAACGCGAAAGTCCGTTTGGACAGTTGCGGGACCACTTCGGTGACCGCTTCCCGCGCCCGGACTACCCCGAACGGGTCCGGTCTACGGCCTCGCATGCGCGTGTGTACGAGACCCGGAACGACGTACGGGCCGCTCTTCTCGGGCCGCTCGTCCGAAACCTCAGCGGGGCGGGCGGAGAACGGGATGGCCGGCATTTCGGGAACGGATTGGTTTCGTCGGCGTGCGCGGACGGGCGCGGACGGAAAGTTTCAACGAACGGGACGAACGAAAAAAACAACAAAATAAAATAAAAACAAACGTTATTATTGTTATTGTTATCGTCGTCGTTGTTGTTGCCGTTGCCGTCGATTCGCGGGTCGGCCCGGCGTTGGGAACCGAACGATTAATCCGTCTGTTATCGCTTTCGGCGCGGGCGACGCCGCCGGGCGGGACGGCCCGCAGCACTTGCGGGGTCGTGTCCCCCCCCCTCCCCGTACGCGCGCCGCGATATCTTGACGAGCTATCTGCGTTCGCGGCGATAACGACGGTAACGACGGCGGTGACGATTCCGTCGAGCGCGAGCCCCTCTCGGGCCTCTCGGGCCGGACGCGCCGTCTCCGATACGAAATCGCCGGGCCCGCCAGGGACGTTCCGGATACATTGGCCGGCGGGCCGTCGCGAAATTTCGAAAAATATCTGTCCGCGCGCACGCAAACGCACACGCTCTCGCATACAATACTCGCGCATCACACACGCGTACACACACGCGCGCGCGCGCGCACATCGCCGGCGCGTATTACGGGAACAGGTGCCATTCACGGGGATCCCGAAAAAAAAAAAAAAAAAATAAAAAAATAAAATAAAGGAGAACAACACACCTGTTACGGGCCCGACGGCGGCGGCGGCGGCGACGACGACCGTCTCGGCTGCTGCCGCAGCACATATTTCACGTCGCGGGGCCGCGTATCGTCTGCCTCCGGGACCCACGGGTATTGTGCCTATTCTGCAGACTGTGCGTAACACGTGTGAATCCTCCGACACAAAGTATTTTTCTTTTTTTTTTTTTTTTTCATTCTCGACGTACGCGCGACGGCGGTGCGGCGCAGTTACGTACGCGTGTATACATATAGTGCGCGGTGTATAATATAATGCGTACGCGAGAGCTTGGCCGGATAACACCGACATTCGTTATACAGACGCACGCACCGCGAGCATTAAAAAAAGGGAGAAAAAAGAAAACAATTTAAAAAGAGAAAGACGAAAAAATTCCAATCTATCCGTTTTGTAATAATAATAATAATAATAATACGAATATTGTAAATACGGCGGACGGACGGACGGACGGACGGACGGGGGAGGGTGGTGGGTGGTGGCGGCGGTGTGGGGCGTGGGCGGTGTCAGGCCGCGGTGCACTTGTTACGCGCGTTGTCGCGAGTAAAATTCCACCGCCTCGCCGCCGGCTGTCGGGTTATCCTCCGGACCGTGCGTCGCGCACGACTACCGAAATTATTGTTATTGTTCGGCGTGTATAAAAACGTAATCCCATTTTTCGACAATGTGCACGCGCGTTTTTTCCCCTTCCCCTCGTTCTCGCCGGGAATTCCCGCGGGATATTCGGCGGCGGGTCTTTCCGCGTTGCGCCGACGTGACCGAGGCGGCCGTAATGGCAGTGCTGGTAACAACAACGCAATAACGCCGTCGGTCGTGTACCGCGCAGTGGTAGCGTCAAAGCGCGTGTACAGGAACGCGATCGGACCGGCGGCGCGGTGACGTTCGGTGACGAACGGCGTGAATCCGAGAAAATAACGTTAATTCTGCTACGCGTACGAATGCCCGTAAGTCCGTCGTTGGGCGTGCGCACACGTCGTCACCACTGCTCGCCCGAGAAATACCGACCGGGCCGCGCGGAGACTTTGCGCGCGCGGACGCGCATTTCCAGGCCCGCGGGGACGACGACGCTGACGCGTGCCGCCTGCCCGGTCCGGCGGACGGCGTTTTTCGGAGGGGCGAAAAAGAAAAAAACCACAAAGGAGTACGGGCGTTAAACAGCTATAAACTTTCTCTACCGGTCGTATACGAACCCCCCCCCACCCCCGAAACGGGAACGACCCGGGTCGTATTGGTATTTTTAGTACGAAAACCGCGAACTATTATTGTTGGTTTATGGGTTACCTTGGTGATAGGAACAAAATGGAAAAAAAGGAAAAAAAAAGCACAAAGTTAAAACGAAATAATAAATAATCAGATAGGCAGTCCGTGTGGCGGGGCCGTATTTGTATAGTAATTCGGTTGTTTAATTTTTGTACGGCCCGCGCCGGCCCGGACAACTGGTCAAAATGTATAATTTGTATTAATGTGCGTTCGTATTTGACATTGAATTGAAATGTCGACTTTGAAAATCCAACGTCTATGCGGTTTCACCTCGTAATTATAAATTTTATCTTTTACGTATACGCTTTGATTGGTTTTGGACAATTTTACTCGGATCCACTTTGGAAATAACCGTAAACATTTTATTTCTACGACAATATCGGTTTCGTCTATATCGTCCGTGAGTAACGGGTCGGGTTCAGTTCAACAATTACAAGGGACGCTAATTTTTTTTTATTACGTTTTATAGTCCCGCTACATTTATTTTATCAATTCGAGCACCGACAGTGTACATATATACTAAGTATTTTTTTTTTTTTTAGCGGGACATAATATATTTAGAGAGCAATTGGTTTTGTATTATCATACCTAAAACGCTAGAAAAAAAAAAAAAAGACTATTTTTATTTGTTCACTTCGACGTTTCCAAAATAGCATTTATACAACGGATATTATTCTGTGTACAATTTAATCTAACGCGCATGTACATGTCCCATGGACAGATTCTTAGTGCCTGATAACCGTTTTAATTTCCAAAGAAGGGGTGTACGAATGGGGTGAACAAATTATAACCTTTACCGCGTCATGCGATAAGCAATCACAATAGTAACGAAATTGTCACTGCAAATAACCAGTTTTAGCACAAGGTGTTCAGTTTATTCTGTACTTATTACAAATGATTTATTGCGTTAGAAATTGAAAACGTCAGAAACTAAAACAACGACTATTTCTAAAAAAACACGGTTTCGAATTTTGAGTACTATCTTTTACAAAACAGCCGTTTTGAATATTGTGAAAAATGAACAAATAAAAAGTTGCATTTTTTTCGCGATTAAGAGGTGAAAATATCAATGTAATTTGTCGCTATATATGTATACAAATATGTGTTCCCCCGACAGACAATTGAAATTATTTCGATTAGAAAAAAAAAACTGAATACGAATCTGTGGACACGGCGGGATACCGAGGTGTATAGCCGTATAGTCTTAACCTAACCACAGATTTGATAAACTCTCCGAACGAGTTATATTTACCTATTGATATATTAAACTTTCATAGCGTTTTAGTGCGACGCCATTTTACATTGGCCTTAGGCGCTATATCAAGTGTCTAAGCAATATTCACAATGAAAAATCATACCGCCGTTTACAATTTTTTCGAACGTAACCGACACATTACAGCTGTGTATATTGAACAGTGCTATTCCGTTTGGTCCGTTTTCCGAGTTTGTATTTCTAAGATACGTTCTGAGCTTTTAAATTATAATTTATAAACGATAATCGAAAATTTCAAATTAGTTGTTTTGTTTTTAAACAATTACACGGTCCAAGACAAGTCCCGCCATCTCGGTTGTGCCACTGAGCCTTTAGTTATAAATAACTCACGAATCGTGGATTTTAATATACGTTTGTTTTAATTAAAATCGTGTTCAATGAAGTCGTCATATTAAAACTGACACCCCTCACTCGTAAAAGGATCATCAAAAGAATTTTTAATTATGTACCGCGAAGAAAAAGCGTAGTCGTAGAACTATGGTCGTATATCTTTTAGCTAATAAAGAAATCTCAGTTAAAACCGTCTAATTTCGTATTCGGTTTGCTCTGCTAATAGAACCATTTGAACTTTGAAACAAATAAAACTGTCGACGTTTTTAGTAACTGTTGCGTATAAAAATCGAAATTGAATACTTCTGGATAATTATTTTCGACTGTATAAATACAAAAATACGATAATTTTTTTGTGTCTATTAAACCGGTATTACGCACGTATAAATGGTTATAATTCCTATAGGGTTAAGTATGTTTGTTTATTTAGTGTATTCTATGATGTATATACTATTGGTAGTAAACGTTATGAAAATACAAAATACACCGCACGAACGCTACGCGCAAAAACCAGTTTTTGATTATGTGCCCGCACCTAAAAGTTTGTTATTTCATTTCGGTACAAAATTAACTGCACGTCGTGACGTATCCGAGAGAATCGCAAAGGTTCAGACGCATTTCGACGGAGCCCTTTGAAGATGTTACAATATTGTTATACGAAAAGCGACGGTACAGCGGAACTGATTAGTGTCCTGCGAACATACAATTATTATAATAAATATCGATATTTCGCTGTCCTTGTTATTATACTCGACGAGTCGGATCGCGTTTCATAATGCAATGTACATAACGTCCGAAATAGGCAATCGAATTATTTCAGGTTTTGAATCACATTACCATAATCTCTCCGCGCGCCCTTCTCTAACACCGACGGCTCTTCGAGAACCTCAGTTGCCAGCACGGTATTCTGTCAAATTACAATATTACATTATTCTTGCCGATCAATATTTCACAATATTTCTCCGCGGGTCCGTGATAAAATTTGCGCCCGACCGGATAGCCGTCGTTATACCGTAATGTGTGCGCGCGCGCGCGTGCGAAACGTACAATGCGTTCCCAAAACGGGCGTGGAGAGCCCGTCGCGCGAATTTCCCGGTTTCCAAACGCGTTTCAAACAACAATGTACTCTGCACGGTGTTTCGTAATTAATTTCGAAGAAAAAAAAAAAAAATCGGTCCGCGTAGATTGATAAAAATTACGTCTAGGCTCGTAAAGGGCTCGACAGTTTTTTCGGATTCGTCGAGCGTACAATACGTATGCTGGTAGCCGTGCGCACGGCCGGCGTACACATTTACACGTGCACACGCTCGTGTTTAAATTGCAAAAAATAATATAACGGCACGAATATCGCGGCACTCGTACCATTCCCTTGTCGAACCGAACCAACGTGGCCGTGGCTGTGTGTACCAGTAGCTATTTGTGTACACACGCGCGCGTACGGACGGACGCGAGACGGGGACG